GAACTTGGAATTTCATTAGTGACTGAAGATTTAATTCTTGACAGTATCAATTCAGAAATTTCTAAATTAAGCTACCCAGATATAAGTTACAGAATATACTATTAGAAGGGCTTTCTTCTCAACAAATAAAGAACTTTATGAAACAGCAAGAAATGAAGAAAACTTGGAATCCCATTGGAATGTAATGCAAAAGTCACTGAAGATTTAATTCTAGACAGCGTCAATTCAGAAATTTCTAGATTAAGTTAATCAGATGCAAGTTATACAGAAGTTATACATACTTAGAAGTGCTTTCTTCGCGTCTTCTGTGGCTTCCAAGATGTCGATCTCCGAATAATCGTCCCTTTTCTTTATCAGAACCTCGACTAGTCCGTTCCAAGTGCGTCTGACGTGCCAGGCGAGCTTCTCCGCGTATTCTTCCAATGCCTCGTCCATCGCCGCTCGAACCATCGACAAAGACGCTCTCTTCGTCAAAGACACTCGACCGCCACAGTATCGACAGCAATGGCCCTCCACCTACGTTTCCAATGTCACTTCAGTATAACTGTGGTCGCCCAGTTACGGGCAAAACTCGAGCGAGCTATATTTTATTATTAGTTGAACAAAGGATACCCATAAGGGATATTCGCAGGGTGTGAATCCACACTTTGGCCTCTCGATCGCGCAGATTTCTTCCAGATAGTAGCCGTTCGGATCGTCTTGGCAGGGACACTTCTCGCAGCTGTAGCCCGCGTACCTATACAATTTTACGTCACGCGAGCAGTTTTTTTTTTTTTTATTTTCATATACAAATCGTGTGTTTTTATTTTCACGTTTTACAACATTGAAACATACATTGAAATCGCGCGTCGCGTGTTTATTTTCGTTTCTTCGGACATTAAAACACAAATTCTGTATTGTGTTTCTGTCTGCATTGGAATATTGATACATATTTATAAATGTATCATTTTTTAAAAAACAGACGCAATATTATCTCGTTATTTTTTTTTTTTTTTTCTTTTATCTTGAATCAGGAATATGTAAAAGTTTCCAACAGTTTTGCAAAAAGTCGATTGGTTTATAATTTACATCTGACGAGCAAAAGCACAAGCTTCAAATATGCGCTCGTATTGAAAAGTGAAACATTTTTTTTATACTGTGAACTACACGTCTCTAAAATTTTACGTCGTACGAGCTGTTTGTCTTAAAAGTGGCACAGTTACTTTTTCAAAAAAAAAAAAAAAAAAAAAAAAAAANAGTTACTTTTTCAAAAAAAAAAAAAAAACAAAGAGAAAAGATAAGATCAAGTTAGAAGTGAGACTAATCACAATTCCATGTGAATCTTTAACGTGATTTTCAAACAATTTGCAGTCAAAATGTGTCAAGAAAAAAAACTGCCAAGAAGCTTAAATGCCTAAATACAAACCTTACGTTATCTTCGAGTAAACTTGAGTGAAAATTTAATTCAATTTAAAGGAAAATTTAACTTAATTCAATTTAATTTGAATTTTTTTTTGAAAGATTTGTCGAAGCTACTCGAAAGTTCAAACGTTAAACAGAGTTCAGTGGTTGAGAGATTTAACGTTCTGGGAAGCCGGAAGATTTAAGAGTTAAGGGAAAAGCGAGACGTACTTCACGGTGAATATTCCTTTCTCGAACTCCCTTCTCCAGTCCATGTCTGCCCACTGCCATGCGCTATACGGTTGCCTGTTGTCCGTGGTTCTGACCGATCTCACCTCGATGCTCTTCGCTGGCAGAAGCACGCTGAACGTCTTATTCCCACTCGGCAGCACGATGTCGTCTTGACGACAGGGCACCTGCTCCAGATGCGGGGCTGCTATCGAACTGCCCTTCCAGTTTTGAGGGTCAGCCCAGAACAAGTGACCCGACTTCGACCACTCACTCACTTTCTTCGGCGATCCTCCTGCTGGCTCACTCAGCTATCCTCAGTAATTAATAGTAGATTAATATATATATATAATATATATAATATTAATAGAATATATAATATATAATATATATAATATTAATAGTATATAATAATATATAATATATATGATATTAATAGTATATATATTATATTATACTGTTAATATTATATACATTATATAATATGTATAATTACTATTATATAGATATTATATATATATTAATTTACTATACTATATATATATTAATTATATATATTATACAGTATACATACTATTAATGTAGTATGGTATTAATAATATGTATATTATACTATTAATTATATTACTATACTATACTATACTATTAATATTATATATATTATATGTTAGTATAATAT